GTATTGCGTAGTATTGCGTAGTATTGTGTAGTATTGCATTGTATTGTGTAGCTTTGCATAGTATTGCATAGTATTGCATAGTATTGCATAGTATTGCATAGTATTGCATAAGATCCCTGTATCTTGTTGTTGTTGTTGTTGTTGTTGTTTCTCAACTGATCCATGGCCGCATGAACAAATCCAAGTTTTCTTTTCTTTTTTTTTTTCTTTTCTTTTGGGAAAAAGGACTTTCCATAGCCATGGCCCCTGTGAGAGGATCGCGCAAACAAATCAAAAAGAAAATTGGGAAAAGGCTATTGCGCTTGACTTTGACCCAGCTAAGTCAATTGGCAACCGCTGCCGATCAAATGGTCAATCACTTGGCCCCTTAGTAGTCACTCTGTCCTGAGCGGATTTTTTGCTGATTACCACTGAGCAGTTGCAAGATCGTTTGGATAAAGTTTGCAGCTGCTTGTTGGGACAGTCCTTCCTAAAGAACTGTTTTTCATGGCATTCCTGCTCACCAACCACCAGACATCATTGGTGATCTGGAGCTCAAACACGGGGGTGGTGCAACGCTGACAGCTTGATGATGCATCCTGGAGATGACGCATGTGCACACAAACACAGTTAATTTGAAGGGGGTGATGGTTGCAGGTTGTGCAACAGTTTTTGAAAGATGTATTCTCTGTGATAGTAAGGCCTAATACATTATTCTACATTGTGATGTGAAAACACATAATAGAGGTTGCCAGTGGGTGACTCTTGACAGCACACAGATTCATGCCAGTCTGTTATGCGGGTGAGTACTCAGGATCCAATACAGTCCTTCCCCTTTTTTTTCACTCTTCTCCTCTCTCTCTCTGCCTTTCTTCCTTCTTTTCTACCTGCTCCTCCCCTTTTTCTGTGCCCTCCTGTCCCCCGTGCAGAACTGCTAAATGCAAACAAATCAGAGCGTCAATAAGAAAACGGAGAAGTTGCAGAATGTCGCAGAATGTTGCTACCCTTGCAACACTTGAACTTGCAGCGAAAATATCACAATCATTTCACAATTTCCAGATGCAAAAACTTTCAAAAAGAGTTTCAATTACGATTTCTCTCCATCTAGGTGGGAAAGAGTTTGCTGCGGCAATTGTTGGAAAGTTTATACACAAGCAAACACATAGCCTTGTAGTAGGCTTGTACCTTTGGAGGTGTATCTATAATATGGGGCAAGGGGCGGGTCCTTCTTGGTACTTCCTTGCACACACACACACACACACACACACACACACACACACACACACACACACACACACACACACACACACACA